AAATTAGTCTGCAAATTATTGCACTTTCGAGCCTTGCTCGCATAAAGGATTTCGTCTCTAACTCCACATCCGTGTGTTAGTGTAACATCAATCTTACCATCAAAACCAAAAAAACAATTTCTTGATTTTCTTCTGTATGACTTACAGTTGACTTCTTTCGATATGCAGATCTTTGACAGTGTATTTTGCTGGGATGCATAGCATTTCCAGGGAAAAGAGCTCTTTTAAGTCAGAATGCACAATTAAACAGGCATCTCGAAATACTACATTTAGAGCGATCAACAGCATTCCACAGTTGATGGATAATGATTTCTGTTTTGTGCACAACTTCTGCCATCACTATCATTGGTTTCCTCATCTGTTATATCTTAATTGTCAATAGGGCTACCACCATTGTCTTGATTTTCTGAACTCTTTTCCATATCAACATTTTCATAATCTTGAAAAGTAGAACTGCATTCAACAGTTTTCAATTTCGTTTTCTCTAGGAACATAGCCGTGTTTCTTTTTCTTTCTTCAGACTTCTTCTGACTTCTGCAGTTTACCTGTCACCACTGGATCGATATTTCCAATCACCATTTTTCTGGTTGTGTTTTGGTCAACCCAGAAATTTCACTTATTAAGAGGAATCCTTTTTTCGACTAGACATTTACAATCTGCTTCATTTTCAATTCCAGCACTAACATACTTACATGGGGAAATGTCAAACAAATTGCTGAAACTTGACAATATCTTTTGATATGTCTCAGAAGTTCGCTTTGCATCAGGATATATTTGTAAATCATTCCCTTTGCCAATTAGCCGTTTTAATTTTTTTATTACGCTATTGAACACAAACGTAGGTATGCTAGTTGTGTTATAGATATCAATCAAGTCTGTCGCGACAGTTCTCACAATGTTATTAACAGATTGGCACTGCTGTTTTTGGTGAAACATATGTACCAAAAACGTATTCACATGTCGGTATTATATTTTATTTCTGTTCCTTTGGAAAACTGAACACTAAGTGTCAACGTGTACTTCTTGTACTACAGCTAGCCATATCTAACTTGCTACTACCAAGTTGCAACACAAATTATTTCCAAAATTTCAACATCCACAAAACAAAATGATATCTAAGTTAAGATTAATTATTACTACCTACATGTTTCAATACATACAAGTCATAAATTAGCTATTCAGAATCACAAATAATACAAAGCATAATATTGTAAAATTGTAAATATTTTACAACATTTTGTTCAAAGTTGCGACCCCTAGACATGGTATTAAAAATTAAATACAGCAATTTTCAGTCAGTTGATGAGGGATCATTAATTTACTATTGTAAATTAATGATCCCTCATATATTGTATAATTTCAGTCAATGCATCAAGGATATTGTCATATGATTTATCATCAAAGAATAGTTTGCTGAACCAAACTTTTTTTCATTGATTTGCAATAAAAGTCGCTGCACTTTCAAGCTCACACCTTCATGTTAATATAAGAAAATTTAAAAAAATGATGCTCTTGAGCTCCATCTAGGACTGTAATAATGGAAGAAGCTTATACCACTTTGTTTTTGGTAATATTTTATGATTCTTGAAGTAACTAAAAGCTTCACATTATCCCAAGTTTATGTAATTATTAGGCTCAAATTTATATGCATAATTTTTTTGAAGAATTTTATATTTTTTGTTTAAGTCTTTCACAAATTCGTAATCAAAACCAGGACTTGTTGATTTACATTTTACCCAATGATCCGAAATGTGTTTTTAAAGGAGATCCAGCTTATGATGCTGACATCCTAATTATTGTGGTTTAGTAAAGCCTCAGGTTTCCATTTCATTTTGTATTTTTACAACTATACAATTTATTTTTACTGTTTTTTACTGCTGTTTATAATCATTGAAATACATTTCGATGCATCAAAATCGTTTAGCAATTTAACAGCTTCAAAAATATCATTGGCTTTTTTACTTTCACAATTAACAAATTCTTTTTCTCGATAATTTTTCTTTTTCTCAATAATTTTTCTTTATAATTGTATGCTATAAAATTTTTTATTATCCGTACTAAACAATATGCCTCTAATATTGGTGATATCAGAAAGATCTCCAACAAGAAGATCTTTCTAATATCATCAATATTAAGGGTTTAGATTGTAAATACAATCAATTTTTTGCGATGTTTTTTAGTTATGTTGGTAATAATTTTATCATTAACCAAATGACATTGGATCAACGTTGATTTTGTATTTGAAAAATGAGCTGACGTTCGCGATGGTTTTACATTTGTTGGTCCGATGTAAGTTTACTAGCTGGGTAACATAAAACAAATAAATTTAATTCTAATAAAGGTAAATATAAAGCTGTGCAAATATAAAATATAACGTCGAATCAACTTAAAATACAACGTTTTGCCAACATAAAATGCAATGTTGAATCAATGTAGAACATTAGGCAATGCCAACTTAAAGTACAACGTTGAACTAACACTGTTTTTTGGTTGTTAGGAACGTTGCATTTGTAACCAAAATGGTATAAAAACAACGTTGTCGCTTGATGTTGGACCAACGCAACGCACAGCATTGTTCCAACTTTTTATTAACGTATGTGTGCTAGCTGGAATACATATCTACACTTAGATAAATACAAATACATTTATTCTTTATTATTATTTGTTTTAGAACTCTAATATAAAAGTTTTACAAATTCTAATTTTTATAAATAGTCCTTTCAATGAAAAAAAAAAAAAAAATTGGCTTAAGATAAGGTTTTAAAGTTAACGAAAAATATATAACGTAAAAAAATAGAACAATCAGATATATTTTATAAAGTCAGAGTGCGGGTATTAAAAGTATAAAATTGTGTTATCTAAATAAAAAATGATTTTTTTAAGTTTTCTCTTAAAAGAGTTGTGTTTTCATATTTGTGAAAGGGTCAAAATACTTCAAAACAATTTCATTCCAAAAACGGGCTCGTCGAAATGAAATAAAAGATATATTGAAATAAGTATGCGAAAATTGATGTCAAATCAAAATTCTTCAACGGTACTTACTTTTTTCATGGAAAAGGTTATATAGCTAGTTTTACATTTATACATAAAACAAAGAAAATTATAATCGTTTAGCTGACATATATTTAAAGTATTTATTTCAAGTACAGAAGTTTAGCATCGATGAAATGGTCGTTAACGTTTACACAACGTGCGTTATGCTTCTGTTGACGACGAAGAAGTTCTAGTATGTTGTATTGATACTACCTAATGCAATATTAGCGTAGCTAATATAGCAATGAAAAATTTTGTTTGTTTAAAAAACTCTAAGATGTGTAATATGAATACAATTCTAGCAAGAGAGTTATTTAGATTAATAATGTTTATAATTATTTATATTTTTTATGTTAAACTTTCATAATATTTGTTAGTATTTGATAACTTTTATAGTGTCGTATTAGAATAAAAAAATATTCTATTTCATATTTAAATTACTATTCATGAGGTTTTTGTAAAAACCCATTGTTTTTTTTATTTTTTGACTTTCCTCAATCAACAATTATTCTGAAAGGTTTAGATCAAGCCTTTTTTATTGTTTGAGTTATAGTATTTTGTTCCAGACAAGTAGCAAACTACAAACATTCTAACGTTTATACATATGGCGAATAATGATAAATTGCAACAAATTGCAATGAAATGAGAGTGGGTATATAAATACCCAAAAAGTTCATCCCTTTTGCCCCAAATGCCAGCCTTCATCGGAAGTGCAAGCCGTTGCACAGCTTGCTTGTCCACATTTAAAGCATTTTTTTTATAAAGCTTGACAACTTTTTTTTTTTCAGTATACAGTATGCGTTTTAAAAATTTGCGAAAAGTAAGCTATAAGAAACTGAAGTGAATAAAATATCAACAAAAGTAGAAAAGAACCAAAAGCAGGAAATCTTAATAA